CGGCCCTGTGCGGCCCCCTCTGCGGCGGCCTCGGGGGGCACCGGCAGCGTCTGCACGATGGCCATGGCAGGGGGGCCCCCAGCGGGCAGGAGCACACAGGCAGCCTGCAGGCAAGGGAGACAGGGGGTCAGAGCAGGGGGCACCACCAGCCATGCCCCGCCAGCATCCCCAGGTGGGCACGGGGGCACCCCTGAACCCCGTCTGCCCTCCCCAGTCTTGTGGGCACAGGCTGCCCTGAAGGGAAGCAGGCAGTAGGAGATGCCAAATGAACCAGAATAAAACCGGGATTAGCTAAGGGGGTGGCATCAGCACCCCCCAAACCCAGCTCAGCACCCCGGGGGTGCCAGGGGCTGTGGGGTGCTGGTGGCACTGTGGGGCAGGGGCGATGCAGTCCTGCCCCCCAGCGTGCCCCAGAGTGACCCCTCCACGGGAAGCGTGCCAGGCCTGGAGGCAAATCCCGAGAGGCCCATGGAGAGCCGGCTCCCGGGCAGCTTGCCTGCCTGCCTGCCCCACAGCGCTGCCTGCCCCATGGCGCCTGCCAGCGCAGCTCCCATGGAGAGTGGGAGGCAGCCCCACACACTGGGGAGAGCCACTTCCCCTACCCCACAGCCCCCACCTCTCTGCAGCGACCCCACAAAGGGTGCCCCCCACCCCCAACCATCTGCAGTGGGGCGCAGGGTCCCCCAGAAAGCCACCAGCCCCTGCCCATCTCCTCGCCAAACCCCCGCCGCCTGGCAGGCCAGGCAGGGGGTCTCTCCCCTGACCCACCACCAGGGCGGGGGGGCCGCACCACACAGCCCCCTCTGCTACCAGGGTACCAAGCAAGTGGGTTGGAGCCCACACAGAGCAGCACAGGGCAGGGAGCTCTGCCTCAGGCACCCCCTGCTCGACCCTCACCGGCCACCCTCTCCACTGCGGGGGCAGCTGCTGGTCCAGGATGCAGGCACCAGGCTCTTTCCTAGCCCCAACACATGGGTGCCCCTCGTTCTTGCCCCACACGTCCCCCTCCAGCCAGGGGGGCTCTGCCAGTGCCCTGTTGCAGCTCCCCCTGCCCCAACCTACACCATACGCCCGCGTGACGTGAGGCAGCCGACGGGCCGGATCCGTCCCCCGCTGCCTCATCGCATCTCGCACATGGCTGCAGCTGGCACAGGGCGCGGGCA